CATGTAAAATAAATGGCAACACATATTTTCTGCTATTATTTTTAGAGTATGTTAATGGTCTCATGGGGGATATGGTAACAACAATTTCTTGAAGCCGTGGGACATTGTGTCAGGTGGAAATAATGGTGTGGGCGATTTCACCTATCAGGTGTCGAGCATTTGCATGCGACCGGAATCATTCGCTTATGATGTAACTAAATTGAAATTTACTTGCATTTCAAAACAATTCAACGAATTTACTTTTTGTACTTTGTTAATAATCACTACCAAGTAATAATAATAATTGTGAAACGCAGCATGATCGAATTGCGCTACCATGATTATTTGCTACTAAGCAATGCAGTTTTCGTTTTTTTTAAACTTTTAGGAACGCAAGAACGATGTTGGTGGACATTTTTCCTTTGATCGTACGGCAAAGACTTGTGTTTTCTTAGGGGTGAAACGTTTTGTATAACTTTCTAGACAGTCTGGAAAAAGGAAGGGGTACAGTGAATAAGTGTCAGACTGCAATGAGCTGCAAATGGTAGCTGTGTAATACTGGTAGGCGTGCAGGAAATAACCGTTCTGTTAGAGGTTCCAAGTTTTGGATATCAACAAGACATTGGCCTGACTGCTTCGTATGGTGTTACCCTTTATTTTATTTTTCGTGAAATACTTCGACAGCTCAAAACCGCAAAATCATATGTTTCCACAGCACACACCACTGTACAAGAAGTAAATACGCTATGCTTGAAATGCATGAACATTCAGGGGTTTGGCATAAGAAAATAAATCAGTTTTTGTTTCTGTATTTGACTGTAGGATGAAACGGTGCGTGACAACACGTCACAGGCAATTCATATCTTTAACAATAGATCGTTTTCGTTCATGCGTCGCATATATGTGTATGTATATACGAGTATATGTGTGTATTTATATTCTATTTTTGGATTCTTATTTTGGCCCGTTTGTTGCTGGTGTCGGTTCAAGACACCGTTTTTATTCTTTTGATATCGCTTCTCGTATATACCAGATATATGAAAGAAAATTAAATCGAGTGTGTGTATTTATATTTATATTCTATTTTTGGCCCTGAAAAGGGCCGTTTGTTGCTGGTGTCAGAGACACAGACACATTTGCGTTGCAGGCTTACTGCCATAAATGCCCCATATACTGTAAACCAGGTGGATTGGGGTACATTGACAGAACCAGTCTAACGACACAGTCTAGCATTACTTCTCGCCTTGTTACAACAACGCTTTCAACACGCATCTGGTTTTGTTTACGCTGGAGGTATCACCCATCTTTCCATGCATTGCGTCTATCAAACATTGTCCAGTGTTTTTTATACTATCCAGTCTGACAGCGGCGTTGTTGTTGCAGACTTTGACCGTCACCCAGCCATCTTTGCCTGTTGGATGTAACGCAGGATTGAAACCCTGGTTGAAACGTCGATTTTATAATAAATACAACGCTGCAGATTGGTCGTTAAAATTGAGTCTACGGTAAAATTGTTTTGACAGTACGCTCTTCTCCCCCTCACCGCTCATTTGATTTTGACTGTAAAGTCAACCCGACGTTCACCCACCAGATCACAAGAACTCAAATCACACGATACAAGCCGGTACCACCCGTGTACATTCGGGCTAGGCTTCACGAAAGACAAGGCTGTACATTTTGATTTTCCACACGAGTGTCTTTAACAGGTAACAAGATAATCCCTTGATGTCGCAGCGACTTTTCTTTTCTAATGATTTTGATATTTTATCACGGGAATTTCCGTGTAATAACCTGTACTTATAATATACAGTAATTTTTTTCATTGTCGCCTCTACCAATTAGTCAATATTATATGGAAATTTGAGGGCAATAGTAAATACACATTCTGTTCACCGATTTGTGACGGAAATATGAAAACTGAAGTCCTTGACTTCGTGTTTTCACACTTGTTATATTAGCAGTCTGGAGGAGTAGTATGTATACAGAATGTGCATAGTAAGTTTCGTTGTCAGGTTTACTGTATTCGAGATCAGTACCGTCAACAGGCCGACGCAGCGGCAACAGACAAACATACTTGAGTCGGCGGATTTTCTTAGCGACCCTTTAGCAACAACTTGAATTAGTTCCGCGCCATATTTTTCGACGATGTATAACTTACCGAGCGCGCGATGTTTCAAATCATGGCACATGAAGACTGCTCTCAGAAATTCAATTGCTATGTTATATTTAAATAAGCAAATTGTAATCCGTTCTTAGATGTTTATATCAGTTGTTTTGTGGGATTAGCGGTACAGGGGGAAAGACAAGCATTCATTTACTCAGTGG